CCACTGAACCATCTCTCTAGCCTCCTTTTTTTGCTTTTTGAGACAGGGTCTCACTATGTAGTCCTGGCTGACCTTGAACTCACTAGGTAGACCAGGCTAGCCTTGAACTCACAGAGTTCCACTTGCCTCTGCCTCCTGAATGCTGAGATTAAAGAAGTGTGCCACTATAGCCTGCCTATCACCACTAATTTTTGAAGATCTCTTCCCACCCAAAAGAACAAACAACCCCCTCCCCAAAGAAAACCATGCCTGTTGCTCCCATACCGCCTACTGACCAAGCCAGGCAGGAACCTACTATTTGTCTCTGTAGCGTTGCCTCTTCCAGAGACGACATATGAACAAAGGCATGTTGTTGCACGTGGTATGACCTTCGTGTTAGACTGAGGTTTTGAAGCAGTCTGGTACGTGTATCAAAGACCGCCTTCACAACCAGGCACATCCTTATCTTTTCTACCTGGAGGTGGGGTCAGGGTTGGGGTAGGCATCCTGTAGCTAAGGCATGGAAAAGTTGGGGCTGGACCCAAAGGACCAGGTGAGGGAGCTCCAGAGAAAGCAGGCAGGAATGGTGTGCTCAGGACGCTCCCTGAGCCCTGGTGGCCCAGTTTGTTTCCTCTTTTCAGCTCTTGTCCTCAGGAGAATGAATGGCTTGTTAGCCTTGGTGCTTGTTACCCTGAAAGTCTATTTGAATTTATCTATAAACTGAGGGTTGCCCCTCTCCCGACTCTGAGATGAATTCTTGCAAAACTTCTCTTCAGTTCCCTTTAAATGGATGTTGAATGTTTTGTGTCTGTCTCTGAAACATTTTGCTTTTGCCTCATTATTTCTCTCACATAAACTTTTTTCAGTGTGCCTTGGGGGAATTCCTCAAGTTGGGATTTGCAAACTTATTTTTCAGCAATGGCCTCTTTATTGTTTAAGGACTCTCTATTGTTCAGTGCCTCCATTGAGTTTTTATTTTTGGCATTCATATTTGTTTCCAATTTCCAAGATTTCATTGTTTTCCTAGAAATTCCCCCCCCCCCTTTATTTGGTCTTTTTGAGACAGGGTCTCCCTGTAGTCCCGCCCTGTAGTCCTGGAACTCACTATGTAGACCAGGCTGTCCTTGAACTCACAGAGATCCACCGGCCTCTGCCTCCTGAGTGCTGGGATTAAAGGTGTGTGCCACCACGCCCGGCGTTGTCTTATTTTCTTAATTGCATTTATTGGAACTTTGAATAGGTCCAGGATATTTCAGTTATTTATTGCTGCCATTCCAGTGATCTTCCTCAAGTTTAGTGGCGTTAAAGAACAACTTATGGGCTGGGGAGACGGCTCTGTGGATAAAATGCTTACTACACAGATATGAAGACCCAAGTTCAGATCCCAGATTTGATAGCACATGCATCTGTAATCCCAGCTCTCCTATGGTGAGATGAGAGGTGGAGACAGGAGAATTCCTGTAAGCTTATGAACCAGCTGGCCTGGTACATGCAGTATTGAAGAACAGAGTGACTCTGCCTCAAACAAGGCAAGGACAGATACCTGAGAGTGTCCGCTGACCTCCACATGCATGCCATGGCTCATGCATACTTGCACTCACACATATGAACATGTGCTTGAACACACACACACACACACACACACACACACACACACATGCACGCACACACACACACACACACACACACACACATACACAGGAAAGATGAAAAGAAAAAGAGCCATTTGTTATTTCTCACAATCTTCTGACTTGACCATGTGGTTCTGTTTTATCTGCTATGGACTTGGTGACTTGTGTGGGTACATTGAGCTGGTGGCCTGGGTGATGGGTGGAAGGAGGCCTCTCATATATATTTAGAGCCTCCATACTGACTAGTGGCTGGCTCACTTTGGCTTTCCACATGGCTCCTCCATCCACATGGTAGCTCATCTTCAGGGATTCTCCCAGTGGCCTCTCCTAAGCATAGTTGAAAAGATACTTGAAGGGTCCCAAATCTGGTTAAGTAAACCACAGACCCGAGCTAATTTTCAACCCAGGAACACCCCCAACCCAGAGACTATGTTATCTGGGAAAACAAATGTCAGCCCCTATTGTCTCAAACCACCAAACCATGCCACTGGCACTTACATTGTCAACAGCCCCCAAGACCATAAAAAACAGCCACCATTTCCTCCTTTGCAATCCCTTATAAGTCACATAGCAACTATGCCAGGGGGCACAATTTCGATCCCAAATCCTTCAGAGAACCTTCATTGTTCTTAATAAAGAACAACCTGCTCCTGAAGTTGGTCTCGTCTTTTATTATCACATCACCCTGGTCTAACATTTTCTAACAACACTAGCCTAGACTTTCTTACATGACTACTAAGATTGAAGAGAGGGAAAGAGGCCAATCTTACAGAAAAGGTCAGCAGTATTCCTTCTGTTCTGTTGACAAAAGCAAATGTACAGATAGATTCTGTTCTTTTTAAAAACTTTAAATTAGGGGCTGGAGAGACGGCTCATTGGGTAAGAACACTGTTCTTGCAGAAGACCCAGGCTCGAATCCCAGCACCCACATGGCAGCTGGCAACTGTCCATAACTCCAGTTCCAGGGGATCTGACAGCCTCTTCTGTCCTCCACGGGCATTGCATGACACAGTGCACTTACCTACATGCAGGCAATACACACATACACATAAAAATAATAAAATATTTTTTTAAAAATTTAAATTATTTAGCAGGGTATGGTGACTCATGCCTTTATTTCCAGCACTTTGGAGGCAGAGGTAGGTGGATCTCTATGAGATTGAGGCCAGCCTGGTCTGCATAGTGAGTTCCAGGCCAGCTGGGGCTACAGGGAGACCCTGTCTCCAAAAAACAAAATAAAACGTAAAACAAAAAAATTATTTATGTATATGTGTGTGTATCTATGCGAATGTCTGTGCTTTTCGCAGAAGAGGTGTTAGATACCCTGGAGCTGGAGTTACAGGGAGTTGTGAACTGAACTCAGGACCTCTGCAAGCACTCTTAACCACCGATCCATTCCACCTTTTTTTCACAGAGATCCGCCTGCCTCTGCCTCCCAAGTGCTACCACGCCCGGCTTGGATCATATTTTTTTAAAGACAGAGTCTGCTCTCATATCTCAGACTGCCCTAAAACTGATAAGCCTGGCCTCAGCCTGCCAAGTGCTAGAATTACAGGTGTTCACCATCACATATGGCTTTCTAATCAGATAGTTACAGTATAGTTAAAAAATTTAAAATTATATTTATTTGGTGCTCATGTATGTATGTGTGTCTATGTGGGTGAGCATGCCACAGTGTACATATGGTCAGAGAACTATTTGTGTGAGTTGGTTCTCTTCTTTCACCATGTGGGTCCTGGGGGCGTCAAACTCAGGTCATCAGGCTTTACTTGCTGAGCTGTCTCACTGGCCTGTATAGAGGTTTAAAATTTTTTTCATTACATTTATTTATTTGTTTGTTCATTTATTTATTTATTTACTGTGCGTGTATGCATGCATATGTGTGGGGTGTATGTGCCATGGGGCATGTATAGTGATCAGAAGACAGCTTGTGGAAGCTGGTTTTCTCCTTCCATCGTATGAGTCCTGGGGATTGAACTTCAGTTGTCAGGCTTGGTAGCATGTTCCTTTACTTGCGAGCCGTCTTGCTGGCCCATATAGTTTTTGAGTAATTAAGTAAGTAATTAAAAAAATCCATGTGTATGTGCCTATGTGAGTATGTATGTACCACATGTGTACAGGCGCCCTCGGGGCCAGAATTAGGCATTAGATTCCCTGAACTGGAGTTACAGGCAGTTGTGAACTGTCATGTTGGTGCAGAGAACTGAACCTAGGTCCTCTGTAAGAACAGTAAGTGCTCTTAACTGCTGAGCCATCTCTCCAGCCTTCTATATAGTTAAAAAACAAACCAAACCAAAACATAATAGAGGTGGAAGATGGAAAAGCTTTGTGTGTGTGTGTGTATACATATAGAGGCTAGAGGCTGAGATTGGGCATCCTCTTCAGTCACTTGCTATCTTAATTTTTTTTTTTAACAGAACAAGCAGGTTTATTAGGCAGAGAAAAAACCAGGGTCTAGGGGCATCTTGCTGGCCCCTTATTCATCTTTGTATCTTTTTTTTTTTTTTCGATCTTTTTGAGACAGGGTCTCCCTGTAGCCTCCTCCTGGAATTCACTATGTAGACTAGGCTGGCCTTGAACTCACAGAGATCCCCCTGCTTCTGCCTCCTGAGTACTGGAAATAAAGGTGTGCACTACCATGTCTGGCTTAGATTCAGAGTTTTTATACTTCTCTCTCTGGAAGAGGGGCTTGTGGTTGAGGTTGTGTCATATTGGGGAAGGTGGTTGGAGGATGGTAGTCATTCAAGGAGCATTCAGGGCCTAATATTTCTTCATCATTCCTGACTCTAAAGGGATATACACATGAGTAGGGGAAGTAAGGAAACTGAAAATGTTGAGGACCTAGGTGTTAGGGAAAGCAGGGCTAGAAAAGAGATATAAAAGGGAAGAGGAGAGATTCTGCTTTTCTGAAAACCAGACAGAAGTACAGAGAGCTGCATGTCTATGGCCTGGTCAAGTAGCACTGCACTAAGGGGCAGGGTCTCCACCTTAATTTAAAAAATTATTATTATTTTAATGTGTATGAGTGTATTGCCTGCACGTATGTAAGTGCATCTATGTCATGCAATGCTGGCAGAGGTCAGAAGAGGGCATTGGACCCCCTTGGAACTGGAGTTGTTAGCTGCCATGTGAGTGCTGGGAATCAAACTTGGGCCCTCTGAAAGAGCAGCCAGTGTTCTTAGCTGCTAAGCCATCTCTCCAGCCCCCATTTCTTATGTTTTTAATGTCTATGATATGAAGAATTTATATGAAGAACTTTAAGGGGTAAAAGAAAATTTACAATACAATTGCAAACACATGTATTTATTGGGGTTGATGGAGGATGTGAGAAAGTGACTGTCATAACGTCTTCCCTTCTTTTCTCTTCTCATATCTGGGATGGGACTCAAGACATAGATGAGTGTGAAGTTTCTGGCCTGTGCAGGCATGGAGGTCAGTGTGTTAACACTCACGGGAGCTTCAAATGCTACTGCATGGATGGATATTTGCCAGAGAACGGGCCTGAGCCTTTCCACCCAACCAAGGATGCCACATCATGCATAGGTGGGTGTCTGCCAGTGAACTCAGCATCTCAGGGTGAGATTTGATGGGTGTGACTGTCTCATCCTTTTGATGTCTTTAGGTCTCTGTTGGAGATGTGAGTGGAAATTATCTTCAAATATTTGTATAAAATAAAACAAATGACTTGATAAAGAGCCACATTAAAAAAAACTAAACAACCTACTGAAAGGAATTAATGAACTTTGGATATTAACTCTGGGTTCTGGTAAGAACCCAGAATCTCAAAAGTGACCTTAGAAATTAGGAAAGAATATGCAACTTAAGGTATTTTGCAATGCAGATATTATTTCATTGGACCAGGTATCTCTTTACTGAATATGAATAAGGATTGATTGCGAAAATCTTTTAGTTTTGTGCCTGTGTACATGCTTTTTTAGATGAAGGGCCAGAAGAACACATAAAGACAGTCATTGGACATGTGCTCAGAAGCTTCATGGAAATGAGCCAGTGTTCTCATAATAGGTGTGAGGCACAAGGTACAGGTGGAGTGAGATTGTGAATTCTGAAAACTTACATTTATCCAGTAATGGAGTTGACACAAATTTGTTTTCAGAAATAGACTGTGGTATCCCTCCTGAGGTCCCAGGTGGCTACATCGTAGGAAATTACACCTCCAGGCTGGGCAGCCAGGTCCATTACAGTTGCAAAGAAGGATTTCTGGGAGTCTCAGAAGAAAGAGTTGCACGCTGCACAGCCCTGGGCACATGGGAGTCCCCAAAGTTATATTGCCGAGGTAGGTTCTCAAAAACCTCTGCCTCCTGGTTGTGCTGTCCTGAGATTGCTCGTATATTTCTCCTTTTATTTCATTTTGGGCTAGTAAATGAATTAAATAAATCTGATGTTAGTTTGTTTCTGATAGGTTTTTAGTTGGTTCTTTCTGTATTTTGAGGATTTGTATCTTGTTGTATGTAAATAATGATCCTATCTTTTATTCTTCTGCATTTATACGATTATATTTTTCTATTCAGAGGTCTTGGCTTGTGTTTCCAGAATGAAAATTTAAATAGTGATACTGACTTTGAATGTTTTTGTCTTATTTCTGACTTCATGATTTTGATGTTTCCTCATGAATGAACTCACAATCTCAGCTTAAATTTTTTTTTAAATTACTTTTATTGATTTCTGTGTGTATATGTGGAATGTGTGTGTGTGTGCGTGTGTGTGTGTGTGTGTGTGTGTGTGTGTGTAGGGAGTACACTTACATCATAGTGTGTGTGTAGGTCAGCAGACAACTTGAGGGAGTCAGTTCTGTCCTTCCACCATGTGGGTCCTGATGTTCAAACTAAAGTCTTTTACTAGCCGAGCTGTCCCATTGTCCTGATCCCAGCTTTTTGATGTATGTATATCTACTTATGTGCACCTCTGTGGCACTATGTGTCAAGTGAACTCTAGGCACGTTGCATATAATTGACTCACTTAATCTTTACGGATCCCTGTGAATAGATACTATAGCTGAAAGGCTCCTCTGTAAAGACATTGAGGGTTTAAGCCAGTGATTCATAGAGCTGAAATCTGAAGCCAGAAAATCTAGTTGTAAAGTATGGGTTTTCAGTTGTTCTGTTATTTACTTTTTTATTTTCTATTCTGGTCATTTTTGTTCTTTTTATTTTTCTGTCTCCAACCATTACCATTTTAATAGTTTTGAAGCTTTATCTTTTTTGTATTTGGTATAAGTGACATTCTGACATTTTAGCCCTTGGAGTATTTTTAAGACTTTTTTTTACACTTAGTGATATTTTTATTTTATTTATCTATTTATTTTGGTCCTTTTGAGACAGGTCTCCCTGTAGCCCCAGCTGACCTGGAACTTGCAATGTAGACCAGGCTGGCCTCCATCTCACAGAGATCTGCCTGCCTCTGTCTCTGGGATTAAAAGCGTACACCACCATGTCCTAAAACACTTCTTAAAATGTGTTTAAAAATACCCAAAAGCCGGGCATGGTGGCTCACACCTGTAGGCCGGTGGATCGCTGTGATTTTGAGGCCAGCCTGGTCTACACAGGGAGTTCCAGGCCAGTTGGGGCTACAGGAAAACCCTGTCTCAAGAAAGACCAAAAATAAAAAATAATAGAAATAATAACTGGTTGAGGGGCTGGAGAGATGGCTCAGTGGTTAAGAGCACTGGCTGTTCTTACAGAGGACCCAGGTTCGATTCCCAGCACCCACATGGC